TGTGTGCGCGCGCGCGCGTGTGTGTGTGTGTGTGTGTGTGTGTGTGCGCGCGCGTGTGTGTGTGTGTGTGTGTGTGTGTGTGTGTGTGTGTGTGTGTGGTGAGAAATGGACGCGCGGCTCTTCCTCAAGACCACGCAGGAGCTCAAAGTGCAGCCTCGGGCCTGTAATTAAAGCAGCCAGGGAAGGCTGACAAACAAGCGCATGAAAAGCCATATTCCAAGCGTCTTGAAGAGATCTATGCGAGCCTGTGGGCCCCCTGTGATGATGGCCCATAAAAGAAGTGGCACGCTGTCACTTGTGAGAGGAAGATGGAGTAGCTCCAAGAAACCCAGCCATTCTTGTATCAGTTTTCACATACGAAATCTACACGAAATATTTTACGAAAAGTCTCACGGCACGCCACCACACAATGTATGCAATGTTCTACTCAAAAATGTACTCATTCAAGAAAAAAAAGCTATTCTCACATGCTTGATGAAAATAAAACTTGTCTGTTTTGTGCTCTTTCTGAAACGTTACAAGCCAAAGAGCCCTGGCGTATGAGAACATAAATCTACTTGTCTCTTCGCCGCAGTCTTAGCGCCATCTTGTGGCACCTTGGTGCCAACGACCCCACGTTGAGGTCTTGACAGAAAGACGAAGGGCGCATTTTTGCCCGCATGACGTTACTTCCGGCGCACTTCGGAGGAGGCAGCCCGTGAATTTGGACACAGCCGAGTTTTGAATGATGGGGATAAGCAGGAGGAAGAAGTCGCGAAAGAGTTGTCACGTGAATCTAAGCCATTTATTTTGAAGGGTAAGCTTCAACAATGAGTTTGAAAGTACAAGTATATTAACGCTACCAAACACATTTTATGTCTTTTCAGACTTTACGCATTCAATCTCAGGTACTTAATTTTTTTATATATTTTTTTTTCTTTCAGGAGTTGGGGTAAAATAAGGGTTTGAAAACGTCTGGTACTGAATAAGTTAAACTGTTTTGGGTGCATGCACACTGTTAATATTGACCGTTTTAAACATAGTATGCGGTGCATGAAACAATTACTCGACCTTAATGCCTTCACTAAAATAATGATGATCTTGTCTCAATTTACTAAAGTGTATGTATTCAGTCTAAAATCTGGGCCTGTTTATTTGAACACAGAGCCGATACACTTGCAGGAATTGAGGAAAGATAACACCAAGTTCTTGGCTTGTTAGTACGTCGGCCTCAAAGTGCAGAGGTGGAGGGTTCGATTCCAGCTCCGGCCTTTCTGTGTAGAGTTTGCATGTTCACCCCGTGCCTGCGTGGGTTTTCACAAAACATGCATGGCAGGTTCATGGATCACTCCAAATTGTCCCTGGGTCTGAGTGTGAGCGCGGATGGTTATTCGTCTATGTGTGCCCTGCGATTGCCTGCCAACCTGTTCGGAGTGTACCCTGCCTACTGCCCGAAGACAGCTGGGATAGGCTCCTGCTCACACCCTTTGTGAGGATAAAGCGGTTCGGAAAATGGATGGATGGAGGGATAAAATCCCGAGGTACTTGAAATCACCGCCCTCATGTTGGGCGAGAGAGAGGCTGGTGATTGGCGAAGATCCAGAAAGTGGACGGTGTGGAGCAGCCGCAGGAAAGCCACAACTGCGAATGAAACGACAAAATAAACCCTTTGAAAAGAAGCAGTCTCTCAGTGCCTCTGAGGGTTAGATTTCGACTGTACTCCCGCAACTGCTACGTTTGATGGTCAACTGTGCGACGATGCGGGGAAAATAATCAGCAACATTACGCATCAGAGCAATAGCAGTTTCTGTCCGCAATGACCACAGGGGGGCAGTATTATTCTGTCAGCAGGCAATGCACAGCAGGTCTTCTCAAACGTTTTGGATCCAGGTAAAAATGTTTCCAAGGTCCCCCTCATCTTAATGCTAGTGAAGCATAACTGCCATATGTACCCCCAAAATCCATAGGAATGATTTTTTTCTTGTGTTTTTTAGGTTTCCTATTTTCTAGAAAAAAAGATATATGAAGATTAAGATTAAGATATCCTTTATTTGTCCCACACATATGTTATCCCTTATGAAAAAGTAGGATGTAGGAAGCCTACTTTATAAAATATACTCGAGTGTATAAAGTATACTTTTTCATACTCACTTGGAACAAATTAAGTTTTAAGTAAGTTTTTTAAGTAAGTATACAATGCTGTAAGTATCTGTCTGTATACTTTTACAAGCCAAGTATAGTTAAGCATACTTCTGTGAAGTTTATAAAAAATAGTATTTAAAAAGTACACTTAAAGTATACTGCCTCCAATTCAGTGTAAAACAGTTTAGTTTTAGTATACTTGAATAAACTACTTTTTGCTATGGGATGATTTAGGAGCATAAAGTCTTGGGGGTGGGGCAATTTGCAATCTTTACAAGAACAAAAAGCCTTTAGTTCTTAAAAAAGGTTTGTGCAGAAATTCATAAATGTTATATTTATTTTCTGCTATCATCATAAAAGAGCTTTTAATAGGCTCAAAACAGGAGGAGGAGTCATTCGTTTGTTATTATTTTGTTTGTGCTCTATGTGTTGAAAAAATGATGCAGCATAATTTATGGCAAGTCATTTTGTGAATCCCAAGCTACAGCCTGTTTGAGAATCATCGATGTCCAGCACACTGCAGCATAAGCCTTGAGATGCACATCTAACTCCCTGAAAAATCTTTAAATTCCACTTTGTGTGGGTGTCATAGCAACATGTTGTAATACTTTGTACAGGTTGAATTGTGAATGTGAGAATTATGATTACACACGTTATATAAACCAGTCTGACAAGGAACAATAATAAAAAAGGTTATTGTATCTATTACTGTTTTTGCTGGTAGAATATTGAAAATCTCTGAAAGAACCGAGCAGAAGGATTTTTCAACAGACAGCGGACAATGTGTATGTATGTATGTATGTGTGTGTGTGTGTGTGTGTGTGTGTGTGTGTGTGTGTGTGTGTGTGTGTGTGTGTGTGCGCGCGCGCGCGCGCGTGTGTCTATGTTGCCCAGATGTGTACACGACGGCAGGAGCCTAGCGACAGCAAACATTGTGCTCCTCTTGGCGAATGCATGACATGTGCCTTGACCTCTGACTCCACATGTGGCCTCCAAATGAGGTTTGTTGAAGACAATGTTTGTCTCTTCGTCTATAATTCTTTTAATCGTGTTATAGTGATGCTTCAACATGAATAAATTGAATGAACGAACTGAAAAATGAACTGAACTGAATGATTAAAAAAATTGTTTTAAAATAAATTGTAGGTGCTCCATTCAGCAAAGGAAACCAAGTCCAGATTGTGTGTTGAGACCAATTACTCTTGTTTGTTCTTTTGCATGGCTGTGAGCATACAAGAGCGGCAATTAATTACTCAAGACAAACAGCATCACAAGGTCAACAAGAATATCCTTCCCAACCTGCATCTCCAAAAGGCAGCTGATATAACAAGCACAGCCTGTATACATCCTATTACAGTACATTTGACCCCCAACATACTCACGGTTCAGGCTCCCATACTCGTGGATTTTTTCAATCTTTTTTTTTCTGAGGGAGCTTTCCTTTATGTTTTGGAGGAGGGGGATTCCCCCTTCCTTTGGTTTTCATGAAAAAATAACCCATATTGAATGTTTGTCTGTATTTTTTTTAAGATTTATTTTTGCCGGGGCGGTGTAAAATTTTTACGTATTTGTGTATCTTTTACAATGCATTTCAGTGGCATCAATATTTTGATTTTCGCTGTTCACGGACCGACCCGGTCTCTCTCAACCGGGTTGACTGTACACAACTGAATTTAGCAACCAATTGTATGGTATGATGTTGTGCGGTGTACTGTATTTGAAATGTTTTCAGATTGTTTGTGAACAATAGGTGCCAGTGTACTTCCAGGAGCCAGAATGCAAGTGACTACCGTTGACTTAAAAATGATGATTAAAAACGTGTTGTATTTGGCGGTGTGTTGCCAGATTTTTACCCAAAAGGTTTCCAAGATGAAAAACAACATCTGACATGACAGTTATCATGTTGGTGGGGCTCTGTGTTGCCATGGACACTTAAGAGCAAGGGCCTCTTTTTGCGGCAAAAGCCCGTCAGTGTGATAAATTCCAGCCACTTGAGTCTTTACATACTGTAGATACACTGTATATGTACAGTTATGTGAAAGCATAAGATGCTCCAGTGGCTCTTAACCTGGGCTATTGCGCAAACACAAAAAACAACATTGCTGATGTTATGTCATATTTCCATCCAACCATCCATCCATTTTCTGATCTGCTTATCCTCACAAGGGTCGTGGGGCGTGCTGGAGCCTATCCCAGCTGTATTCGGGTAGTAGGCGGGGAACATCCTGAACTGGTTGCCAGCCAATCGCAGGGCACACATAGACGAACAACCATCCGCGCTCACACACACACCACAATTTAGAGTGTTCCACTAACCTGCCGTGCATGTTTTTGGAATGTGGGAGGAAACCATAGTGCCCGGAGAAAAAACACACAGGCACAGGGAGAACATGCAAACTCCACACAGGGAGGCCAGAGCCAGAATCGAACCCCGCACCTCTGCACTGTGAGGCCAACGCGCTAACCAATTGACCACTGGGCCACCATGTCACATTTCCTTTTTCTAACTATGAAGGGTTCGTGAAAGCACATAGGAACCATGTTCATTAACTCCAACAAGGTGCTTCTGTGCTGGACAAAGTAGCATCATTTTTCTGTATTGTAGAAGAGGTATTTGATTGACAGTTGAATGGGGTGTGGTTTCAGCACATTTAGAGGATGTGCCGACAACCATTGAGAGCGGAGACAAGGGGTTGATTTTTCATCATTTTTCAAGCCTCGTTTTAGAACCGTGGTGATTATTTTAAACACTTTTTTTCTTTTGTGTTTGAAATTTGAAGATATGGGTGATTATTTTCAATTTTCTGGTATTTTCATAATGAAAGGCTCTTTAAGAGGCCCTCAAATGGTGTGCAAACTAACCTCATTTGCTCTGCCATCAAGTCAAAATGATATGCAAAGACATGCAGTGTGGAAACACGCTGCCTTGGCTCAAAACACACATTAACAGGCTGGCTCTGAATGTGAACCGCCAGTGTTAAAATTAAATAGGCACAGAGAAAACGAGAAAAGGCTCCCCAAAGTCAACGGACTCATTCATCGCCATGAGTAATTGTTTGATTGATTGTGAGTCAAAGAAAAGGCAATGTGTGGATTCTCTCCTTTTTCCGGGCAGAGTTGTGAGGTCTCACCCTGTTCACAGTGAGTGGCCTTCGCCTAACGTCAGCCGTAATACAGGCGCGCGGGGACAAGCCAGAACAGCCGCAAATGTGTGATGCCATTCAGGCACAAGTCAGGGTGGAGTCGCTAGCTGGCAGCCACAGAAGAAAGCTGTGCTTGTTCCACCCAACCAGAACACGAATGCAACATGTTTCACGTCACACAACGGGAGCCTGTTTACAGATGGAGAAGACAAGGTGTGTCTTGGGAAAAAGTAGGGTGCGCTAAAAATAACCCCACACACCCGAAGTGTCGACATAGGAGAGGGTGTTACCAGGTAAATGAGGTGGGACGGGGCACAAACAGGATACAGGAAATAGGCTTACTGAAAAAAAAGGTCAGTCAAGAGATAGCAAAACAATAGCTGCACTTGTTCAAATTTCGGGCACATTATAGAGGCTGAAAGCACATTCTTTTCAAGTAAGTCTCCACACTTGCCTGGCAAAAAAAGTCAGAAGTAGCAAGTCTACTCACTCTCAATGACAAGGCGCTCTTAAGCAGCCATGCCAAAGGAAAAAACAAAGGGAAGATTTATTTTTGGGGTACCCTTCACAAATGCCCGCTCTTTGCTCAGCAGTGGAAGAGGGGCGACTCATTACTCATTTAACCCCGCCACCAATAATTAAAAAAAAAAAAAACTCAAGAAAGCTAACACGGTGATCACTAAAGCTGCACAATAGAGTGTGCCATATTTCTGATTGTTTTCACTTTCTTTTTTTATTTAGTAATAAATCTCTGAATTAACTTTACATGACCCATAAACTTCAGAGTTGCTCTTATTTTTAAAAATTATTATTTTATGACTGTTGCTTAAAAGTTCAGACAGCGATACTGATTACGACTGTCGTGTTAGATTTATCAATTAAAATTGCCACATGAAATTAATTGTCAATTTTAAGGGGAAAATGTGCTGGCAGGTTATCTTTCAAACAGAGCAATGATCTTATTTATTTCACAACAATAAAGATGCGCCTCATCATCTAAAGTCTCAGGAGCATGGCACTCACAATTGTGGTTGTTGCACAGAAGTGTTTATGATTATTTCTTACAGACCATGGAGGTTTACTGTTACGTTCACCGTCAAACCCTGCCAATGTGCATGGACATGTCAAGTCAAAGATTCCAAGATGTCTGGCAGATTTGATGACCGGAGAGCCACTAGTTCTTCATTTGAAAGGTTCACATACTTTTTTGACAAGTACTATGATGTTTTTTGATTGCTCTCAATAAAGATGAGAGATAAAAAAAGGTACCTGTCATGTTATTTTAGACTCATGATACGTATGTGCCAATACCATTGATGCAGATGAAGACCAGATCACATTTGAATGACAAATTTATTCAGAAAACCATGACATTCTAAAAAGTTCACAAACTTTTTCTTGCTGCTGTTTATTTTGATATGCATTTTTTTTTCTTCAGACACTTTTCAACTGATAATTCAGTGTGTAGAAATTTGAATTTGTTCACCCCTCAAAAAGGCCAAAAATGTTCACGTCAAAATGAGATATCAGGTTTAGAGGGATAGCAGCAGATGTTGCGAACCACTGAAATTAGATTTTCCTCTCATCTTGGATTTACAGACTACACTAGACTCTGGATGTAATGTCTTTTGCCACTCTGGTTTGCAATGATGTCACCATGGGAATATAGAATCATGAGTGTTCGTTTTTCCTTTGCATTACAAAATACAGTACAGTAGCGACAAGTGAAAAATATTAGTTGGGAGCCAAGTCAGTTCAATCAGTTTCAGTGGCACCCCCCGCAGTGTCACATTGGGGAGGGTGTGTGGGAGGAGATATGTAAATTGGGCCTTTGGGGTCCTATTAGTGGCAACCGTCACAGTCAGTGCGCTGGCACACTTCATCGCAGGCAATCCCATGAACAGTGCCAGCATTCTCAGGTTAGCTTTCTCCTTTACAGCGCATTGAAAAAGTCCTCGTGCAAAGACAGTTTGTATGAAGACATTTTGGGATTTGGCCTTGCATTAAGTTGATGGAAGAGGAGTTTTAGGATATTTTCATCTGTGAGGATTTTGGATTTTATTTTTACTCGGGGCACTTTGATACTATGTGATGAATTTTTTAGTGGCCACAATTCTTTTTGTAGCAATGATGCTATGTTTGTCAATTGGAGAAGCAAAGTCATACAGACCGCTCCATTACAGTAGCTACAGAGCTGGACTGATTGAGCACCACGACCAGGGAAAACCTACCAGCAGACACAAGTAAGCTTATGGTTCTCTCACCTGTCAAGTCTACAATACTTCAAATCGTAATTCACTAACAATGCATTTTCACCTTTCTTTCCCACTTTAAAAGGAACCACTGTGCTTATGTGATCGAAAAGACAGTGTCCTTCACTTTGCAAGATGGGGCAGCCCCATATGTCAAAGCTGAGTACAACAAGTGTTCCTGGCATAAAAAATGTCCAACTCTTATGTGAGTGATGTTATTTTACTATGCGTTGTGCATATTATACATTTACATGCAAATCAATTGAAGTTTCATTCACGGTACATATTGATGTATCATTCATCATTACAGTATGGCAATAAGTAATTTTGTTAAAATTCTATCTCCCACTCAGCACACTCTGTACAAATATTGCTGTAGCAGCATAGATGCTGCATGCAGACTATTGTCGCTGTCCTGTGAAGAATACGTTTGTCCATTTTTGTCCATTTTTTTTTCAGATTTTTATATTAAAGGCGTGTGTTCGTGTTTTGGGCACTCTATAAAGGTAAAAAAAAAATGTAAATGACAAAAATAGACAAACGTGTCTTTCACAGGTCAGTGACGCGATACTTTTCTTTCATTAGGGTTGAATTTATTTCATACCCTCATTAATGCTCCTCTTGTTTGTTTGAACTTTTTTTCTTGTTGGTTATACATATTTGGTGGAAGCCTCACATGTCCAAGATCACCAACTTGCCTGAATTGCCAAACACCTCATCGTTCAGTTTGCTATACTGTACCTTATAGTATCATCATATGCCTTCACAGCATTAACACAACACCCTCAAATCCTGTTTCATTATGAAGGTATTATGTTGTCACTGCTTAAAATGGTAGGACACATCAACATCACCAGCACGTTGTCAGCTCCAGCTGTCCACATCAATGTCTATAATAAGCCAAAATAAATCACATTTACCTTTGTGGCTGACCAGTTCCTTCTGCACCAAAGTATTAAAGCAATCAATTTTCAACAAAACAGACTTGGTTGAATGTATGTAACCTAACGATTTTCATTCATCTTTGTTTAAAAAAAAATTCATACAAGCATCTATCTACTTGCTTAATGATAGCATACTTACTGTTAGAAGGAAAAGCCCAAAGTAAGTAATTTCAAATTGTTTGTTCTCCACAGGTACCGCCTAATCTACAAACCAATGTATAAGGTGGCGCATAAAACAGTCACCGAGTTGGAATGGCGCTGTTGTCCTGGGTACTCTGGCTATGGGTGCATGGAGGGACCCCCATATTACCAAGATTCCGTTAAAAGCATGCCACCATTTAAAGGTCCACCATTCAGAGGCCCACAATTCAAGGGGCCACAATACAAAAGCCCCATGTTTCAGGGTTCCATTTTCAAGGGCCCGCCCAGCAACCCTCTTGTGAAAGCCTACCCATGGAATCAACCCAAAGGACCTCCCACCAATGGTTTTAACTCTTATTCAATGCATAACTTTGAACTGCCGAGATCCTCCAGCTATCCAGACACCTCTTTTGAATCATATCCAGATGGGCCTGAGCCCATGCTGAACCACAGAGAAGAACATCACATTCCTCATGAACAAGAGCATGATCATAACCAGGGAGCAGTGGAGCATAGTCCAGAAGTAACTCTTGCCCCAAGCAATGGTGAACCAACTGAAGGTAAACCTAAATCATACCGATACGGGCTGCTTTTATGTGTATATTGTAACGAATGTAACCGACACTGTTATAATGTTAAGGATTTCTCTTTATTATTTTAGGCCTTGCTCTAGAAAATGCGACAGAAGAGAGAATATATCAAATTGAGGAGGATGTAAGACGTCTGAACCAGGGACTGGAGTCCCTAAGAGGGACTGTGAATGGCCTGGAGGAGAGCCTTCGAGTGTCACTAAGAGAGGACGCCAACAGGATGCTGACAGCTCTGCTCACTGCTGCCCCCAGTCCTCTTTCTGCTCCTCCCGTAGCCTCTAGCCCCTCCACAGTTGGCTTTGTAGAGATTCCTGGGGGAGATCCTGATGCTGGCACTCTTGACGGCAGACACGTCTTTTCAGGGCTTACAGAACTGAATGGAAGGGTAGAAAAGCTCAGGACCGAGCTGCGAGACAAGACAGCAGAGCTTCAGGAGCTCAAAGCCACAGTAATGACACATGACGGAGCACTAGAAAAGATATCCAGCAGAGAAGGCACAGTATCTGACTCCACACATCTTGAGAGGAAAGACCAAAAGGCGACAGATCAGCTATTGGATGCCAAACCGAGTGCAGCCAGGACTAACATTCTTGGTGGATTTGAGAAGCGTGTGGAGAGTGCAGTGGGCCGATGTGAGGAGAAAGCAGAAGACACACGTCGTCAGTGTCAGAAGGAGCAAGTTGAAAGGCAGGAACAAATGGAAGATGCTTTGGAAGAAAATACAAGTGACCTAAGGACAGAGATGAGGAGCCTCCGGGCGCAGGTCCATCATTTGAGCACAATAGAAAGCTGCTGCGCTGTTGTGAGTGGACTGAGTGACAGGGTGCAGTTGGTGGAAGCCTCAGTGGTGGGCCTCAATCAGTCTCAGAAACACCTAAAGGTAGAGTTGGGAGGTCATAAAGACCACGTTGAGGGAATGCTGGAAGGGCGCCTTAAATATGTAGAGACCAAGCTCAACCTGACTGGGCAACTGGAAAAGAGGAGCAGCGCCTCAGACAAAACTGAGACAGGACAGGGCCTGGAGGTCAGAATGGAGGACAAGTTGAGGGAACTCGAGGGACGCCTACTGATAGCTTTGGAAGAACTGGGAAATGCCACTGCTCCTGCACTCCTGGAGGGACATGCTGTTCCAACCCTGGAGACAGAGCTGGAGTCCCTCCGAGGGAGACTCGAGATGGATGTGGACAGGGTGCAAAAACATCTGAGCAACCTGGAGATTCTTTGTTCTTCCTCCTGTTCTTCATCCAAAACACCCCCGGCTATTCAAGGGGACTCTTCATCTTCAAATATTGGTCTGGCAGAGGATCAGAATGTCCAGGGATTATTAGATAGGCAAAGTGACCGTTTGAACAGCCTCAACATCACGCTACAGAATATCATGAGGCATATGACTGACAAAGAGCAGCAAGAAAAAGAACATGGCGAGCTCACGATCCTTAAGTTCAACGTTCGCTCCGTCAACCGCACCCTGAAAGGAATTCAGGAGTCACTGGGGACCGTAGTCCACCAGGTGGGACGAGTGAACAGCTCCTGGCATGAGAGAGAGTCCCGTCTGGCGCAACAGATGAAGGGCGTGGTCCAGCTGGTTCGACATCAGGCTTCCATGCTTGGGGCAGGTGAGCGCAAATTGGGCCGGCTCAGGGCGGAGTTGCAGGAAATGAAGAAACGGCTCGCTGACGAGGTCCGAGGCTGTCGGAGCACAGCTATGGGGGTACAAAAAGAGGTGACAGAGGTCGGTGGTCGTGTCGCTAATGTGGAGGACCAGTGTAAAGTTCTTAATTATTTAGCAGAAGATCTGGAGAGAATTAGGGAGGAGCTAGACAGACAATCAAATGGGTTTCTCCTGCAATTCAATGGCACTCTCACCAACCATTCCCAGCAGTTGACTGAGCTGAAACACGAAATCAGAAACTGCACCTCCAAGGCAGAGTCATCACAACAGAATTTCGAGCCAGAGTCACAACCCGGGGACACGTTTACTTCAAAGTAGTTCTGCTCATACAAAAATAAATTATATAAAAAGAAAATAAAGGTCAAATATTCTGCTGGAGTTGTGGAAGTCCACAACATTTTTTTTTTTTTACTTGACTTGTGAAGGTGCTAAGTCTGTTCGTTGTCATGAACGCCCATTTTGAACAAAAATGTATGTTCCTGTGCTGTTTACATGCATGAAAGTCTTTGTATGTGTTATCTAATTTTTTTTATTTGATGTTCTAGTTTTTATATTTTCTTACATGGAGGCTAAATTACACAATTCTTTTTATATAATCGGAAATTGTATTACGTTCCTTGTTTTCATATCCCTGAATCTCTCATCTTTTTGTGACTTGACTGGGGTCGGACAACAAGGAAATAAAGGTTTTGTATTGTACATGTTTGGGGGTGAAAATGTATTGAACAAAATAAAAGTATTTGTCTCTGAAACAAGAGAAACGGATTTTGAGAGACAAAATTACACTGTCAAGTTCTGATGCAAGGAGGTAAGCATTCCCCGAGAGGGCATTGAGAGGGAAATCATTTTTATTTGGACATTACTGCAGAGCACATATAAAAGCCTTCCGTGCCCCACAAAAAAACAAGACTGTGTGTTCCAGAAGAAAATAATAAGCTGGAGTAATTTTCAAAGGTACACCCAAGCGGTCCAGTAAAGTAGTAACCTTGTGCCCAAATCCATTATCCAGCCCCTGAGTTGTGCAAACTGCGTTCAGCATTCCAAATGCAGGGCTGAAATGACCTTGATCAGAATCATTTTCAGACAAACGATTAGAATGACAACTTTGTGGAGGATGAACTCACTCCATCTGTGACATCAAGTAAATAGAATAGAATAGAATAGAATCCAATAAAATATCACAAAGAGGACCAAAGGAAAAGAGAGGTCGTCAAGAGACTTAGGAGAGGGGCAATCTTTCCCTTATGTGCTTTTTAAAAAATTTTTGATCAGCATAAACAATTCAAAGCATGAGCAAGAGAAACACCCATTATCGTTTTTTTTTTTCATTATGTCTGAAATATTGCAAAGTTCTTCAAAGATTTCACAGCACAATGACAACAACAACACAGTCTTATTAGTTTCCAAGTAGATGTTTGATGAGGCTATTCACTGCACACCCAAGGACAGCATTTTTGCGTTGCGCTGTCGGCCCAACTGGCAGACAGTCTTTGACCGTCCCATGCAAACAAAGTACAAAACCCAAATCTGGCACAGGCGCAGAGGACAGAGGATATGGGAACGAGCACACAGCACTGAGATGGTTTGAAAGGTGAATCATTGCATAGAGTGCCCTCAGTGTTTGTTTTTGTCCTCATTAGGGTGACGGTTGGAGGATGGACAGTTTACACGTTAGCTCACAGACAAGCATGAGTATGATCTCCGCTTCGATTCGGTAAACATGCCCCGACCCAAGAGTGCACCAACAGAGATTCAGCGATTCTGCTCACACTAATCCTTAATCATAATCTGATAAAACATTTGAAGGCTGACATGAAAAATGCTGTTTCTGAGGTAAACACCATGAACTGCAGAGGAATTGGGGAATGTTGTTCAATAACCCTGGGCTGCAATACCTGTTCAGAATTACAGGAAGATGGTCAGCTCACAGCTGAAAAGCAGTTCTCAGAAACAGTGGTTTGAATATTAGTATGGTTATTTATGTTTTGCACGAAGCACTTATGTACAGCTGCGGCTGTTGTGCGCGCGCAAGATAAAGTTGAGTTCAGTTGAGTAGTTTCGTGATTCATGGGAAAGCTAAATCCTAACGATTTTTTTATAGTACATATTTGAGATTCGAATGTGAAATGCAGATTTAGGGATTTTTTTTTCCTTTGACAGCCCAAAATAATTTTTTCATTTCATTATAAACGTGATGCGGTTTAACAGTAGGTCATACAGAGAGAATCACTGACGTTTTTTTGGGGTTTTTCTGTTTGTTTTGTTTGTTCTTTTTATGTGGGGGATGGGGCTTGAGAAACTGCTCGCTGGAGGACTCGTCACCACTACTTATGCTGTGTCTGAAGTGTTGTGAGCTACGAATGTGGTCAAAGAGCAAATTACAAATTAAACCCATAAATCAAGGCAGAACTGCAATTCAGTTTACACTGGCCAGGCAATCCCCAAAACATTTCTCTGAAGTCATAAAGCAAGTGTGGCAAAAATATGACACCCACAAGTTTTGAACTCCCACAACGGATTTATTAAAATGTGAACCGACTGTGGATGTATTGAAAACCAGCTGCCTCCAGTTTCTTGCCATCCCAGTGATTGTTATGATGTGACATTAATCTCATTTCGACGTGTCAGAGTGAGTGGCCTGAGAAGGACCACAACCCCGCTCGGGGTTTTTACATGACAGCCCTTCTCTTTGAGGCGGGCATCTCGGCAGCCACGGCACAGCTCAGCTTGAGAGTCTGTGTTCCCTTAAGCAGCTTTCCATGACTGTCAGCCTGTGAGCTAGATGGCTTCATGCGGGCGGCGGTATACGATAAAGTAGGATGACACAGCGCTTTTGCTACTTTGCAAATGCTTTCTACTGGAGTTATAATAGTGTGGAAGCCAAGTCAAATTTGACATTATGTTTTCAGATGATCATTTTGGAATAATCACATGATAATTTTGCTCTCAGTCCCAAGCCAGACTTCACATTTGTTATTGTTATACTTCATTTTCAGCAGCTGTGTTTTTTCAGAGAGTATCGACGAGAATTGGCAATGTCTTGTTTTAATGTTTTGCTTCTGTTCCAGGGCTACTCAAACACAAACCTTACAAACCACAAATATTTTTGGCCAACGTGTCATTGTTGTTATTGAAGTCGATCAGGCCATGTCTGATAATATTGTAATACTCAAAATGTTTTTACACAAGCCAAACACAAAAACATGAACTAAAATAAAACATAAACTAATTTTAGGGGTGTTCACACGGCAACCTTTACTCCGGTGTAGCACTGGGGTTACCCCCCATAGAGTGTTCACACGTACAAAGTTTTACCGGTATAGCCCCCTGAAAACAGCTTAAACCGGAGCAAATTTAACTCTGCTCAGGAGGTGGTTTAAAAATTGACTCTGGAGTAAATGCTAGTTTGCGGGGCAGCACCGATATAAAATGGGATGTGTGAACGCGACAGGGGTAGACTCGCTATGCGTGAGAAGAGTTGATTACATACGGGTATTGCTTTCGTGCTCTGTTGTACTTTCGCCATCTTTCCTTTCTCTCTCTCATCCTTTTACGGTGTCTGATAGACCACAGCGTTGATTTGTCTGAAGAAGTTCAAACCATGGTTTTTCGATATGTCACAAACAAGGCGGGGAAAAGGAAGCACACTTTACGCATGCGCATGTTTTATTTCCGGATTATTACTATCATATTGCACGACCGCAGAAATTGCCATGTGAACGCAAGTGGGTAGTAAATTAATATACTGTAGTTCACTGGACTAGAGTTGTTTGATGTGGAGAAAAATGTATTTCCCCATACTGGTAATTTTATGCCTTTTCGGTGTTCCGGAATACTCCTGAACAGAATCGGATTCTCCAAGGGTAGAGACAGATAAGTTGACAAAAATGTTTATCAACAAAATACAAGACCGACAATGTACAATGAAAGACACTGGTAACAAAGAACCAGGATAAAACGAGACAAACCAAAAACACTTGCAAAAGGAAGTACAAAGGATAAACGCAAATCACTTGTCACAAAAGGACAAGAAAACCCAATACACATATGAACCGCACCAAGAATATTATTAGAAACAAGAACTACTTACAATAAAAATACAAGCAAAATATGACAAGAGAACCATTAGGCAATAATCATGAACATCGAGAAAATACAGGCACTTGGAAACGAGCATCGTGAGCAAGGCTGAATTATCCAAAAGCAAGTTGTCAGCATGACTGAGCTATTAAAGGCAGCTGGATAACGAGGAAATGCAGGTGAGGCTCTGGAGGGAACACCCTCCAACCCTGCCGGAGACTGAACCAAAAACAGTAAAGGATCATGACAATAGCCCAATAACAATACACATCTCAATACAGTATTTTCCCACAAAATTATATGAAATGAATACCAATTTACTGAGATCTTCGATGGATGGACTACAGATGGAAATTATATTTCTGCTAAATCTGGTGCAAGCATCTCCATGTCTTTTGATACTGATTCATATTTGTACATATAGTCCATAAACTAAAAAAAATCCACAATGTAAACAATATACTGTTATAGCGTACATTTATGTACTTTACCAGCAAATTGAGCATCCATCAATGACGGACTGACAGACCTTCTGTCCTTCCTATCGGAATGCCCCCCTCTGCTCATAAATATCACTCTTACAAGACATCTGGTTCAACAAATACTGTCTGTTGCAAACGAGGCACTTACAGTCGACTTGTGTGGTGCTACTCAATTTACCATTGACACAAAGGGCCGAACTCAATTTGCACGTCAATTACACCTTTTGCTTCCAGCCAGTGAGTGTGATGTCATCGCCAATGCACAAGCCAAATGAGCTGGACTGCTCCAATAACACACAAATGCCCAGAAAGAATAAATGCTTAGGATATTAATTGATGAACATATTTTCCGAACAAAAAAACCATAGGGCTTTTTTTGCAGACTGTCTGTGTATAGTTAGCTTGGAGATTAGTCCCAGTGTACATGCTGACACAACCAAAAAAACATAATTAAGTAAGCATTTTTCAATTACGGATCACCTGCCATGTGGCAAGCGGCCATCTCATGCATCCGCTATTCAGTGCCCCATTTCTGGTCTATTGGTTGATTTGACTTTTTCCCAGGATTCACGAACAGTAGTTGTCATGGTAAACTAAACATGCAAAACTACACGTGTTACTAGCGCAGTCGAGGGGGCAGTCTCATGGTGGCTCTTTTGCCCCCCAAAAATGACTGCTCTATGGTTTTTAATCCTTGGGCTATTATGACCATCATTAAAAATCTAGATGTGCATATCGATCCATTTTCAACACCGCTTATGCTGAAGAGGGTCGCGTGGAGTTGTCACATAAAGAGACAAACGACCATCCACGGCCACATACACATCGTCACTGAGTGGGAACCGATCCAACGCTGCCCACATACAAGTCAGGCAAGTGTACCACTCCACCATCAGCGACTCCTACATGTGCATATATATGGAAAATTGGAGGATCAGTTCTTGTCACTTGTTCCAATTTTCACACTCTACTTGATATTCAGAGAGAGATTTTGAACCACACTAATGCCAGTGTCACATAGTAATGCAAAAGAGCAGGTTTTTCCTCTTTCAGTGTCCGAGAAAACCTCATACAAGTGGGTAACACACTCCACTGATGACCACACAAACATTTCTTCTGATGATGCATGATTCACACGTGTAACGGTAACCACGGTATACAACGAATATGGCAGAACAAAATTGTGTTAGGATGGATAAAGTAAATATGATGGGCAATAGTTTGAGTCATCAGCCACACTTGGAGCTTGCCTGGAAAATGAGCAACCCGCCCCCTCAGCTCTCCCTCCACCCTCCATTCATTGCTCTCTCTCTGTGGCAGGCAGAGCGTCTGACTGGCGCTGAGTGCACCTCCACAATAATGACGATGTCGTACATGAGAGTGTCCACTTGCCTGCTAGATGTGTGTGAGTGTGTCTTTTCCAGCTCTCCCTCTTCTATCTCTCTGCGTGGCACCAGGTGGCCCTCTCCATCTCCTTTTCAGTGTTTAATTGGAGCTCCTGTCCAGTGTCCTGCTCTGCGGTGGGCCTCCATGAGTTTAACAGAGGACAAGAAATCCTTCCCTGGAAGGTAAGTGGCACTGATGCCGAACACTTGGACCATTCTAAATCCTACACATCACACTGCGGCAAAGGAACACATCGATTGCATTCAGCATTGGAACTGCAAGAATAATTTTTGACGACAGATTGGCAGAAGTTGTGTTCTATTTCCCTTGTGTTCATGTGTTTACTGAAGGTCAAGCAACGTTCAAAACTACAAAGTGGTTAATATGGATGGTGAAGTATTGGAAGCACACAAATCACGGCGCCATGACAAGTGACAATATTATTGAGACTGCCTCTTTGCACAAGCAACACCACTTGGTGTTGCTTTACTGTAATTTTAGGTGCAAGTTATTGTCTCCGCTATATTTTGCCATTTTTCAGACAGAGTGCTGCAGTGACAAGAGTCGGAGCATCAGGTTTGTCGTCCTATATGTGGGAGTTGCCAGGGGTCACTGCGTCATGAGTTGTCAGATGTAATTTGCATGTTTGCGAGCTTTTGAGGAACAAGGCCTTTTTCTCCATTGCGAGACTAATAAAGGTTTTCTTATCTTATCTTATCTTATTTCTCTCTCTCTTGATAACTGCTCATCCTGATGAGAATTTGAAAAGACAATGCCTTTCAAACAAAACATCTAAAAAGAAAGCAGCTTCACGATAAACAATGAGAGAAATGTATTTTTTGTTTGATCATGCTGTGGTTATATAATGTTTGAAGAGGAAGCAGATGAGACAGTATGCTAAGGACATATTTGTGGCTGTTGCCTTTACCCTTCAGGCTTGGAGTTGGGATGGACACAGTGCTTTAAGTGGGACGGTACGCACCAATACGGCATACCAACACATCTCCATTTTAGCCTTGGGGGTACGGCGACTTTTTGTATCGTACCGCGACTTCACATGAAACCATAGTACCCTCTCTTGCTCTATTTCTCTCTTGTAATGATATGTCGGTCACAAACAAAACAGTTCTTCGAGCTGGCCCTTTGAAGTGAACGACATATCATCGTTCACTTGCACATGATTGTGATGATGAACAGAGCAAGGAGAGACAAAACGAACACGCTCACTCGTAATAGTTAAAAAAATAAGGGACAGCCTGAAAAGGAGTTCTAAATGGACATATATAAACTTTACTGACAAAACAAAGGCAGAATGTAGAGTCTGCAAGGAAAACTATTCTATGAAATTTATCATTGTGCCAATGTCTCTAATATAACTGTTGCTGCTTGGTGCTGGATGGGGACTGTGCATTGCAATATCAGTCCCTTCTGAAAGAATCTTCTCCAATACAGGACAGATCATTTTTAACAGAAGAAACCGGATCAGCTCCCCAAAGCATAGGCACTTGAGAGTTTGTCATAATTAATCTTTTTTTTTTTGTTAGTTTGTTATATTTTGGGGGGATTCTGTGTGTGTGTGTGTGTGTGTGTGTGTGTGTGTGTTCACTTTAAATTAGTTAGTGTTTTTGTTCTGAATATTGTAGCTTTACGCAGAGGAACTAAGTAAAGGAATAATTTTTGAAAAAACAAATAAAACAGTGCATATTTTTCACATTAGTGTCTGCGTGATTCTTTTTTATATTTGATAATAAATTAATTCAAGCAATTAAAAAATTAGGATCTGAAAAAGCCGTCTCTTTTAAGTGAGTTGAGTCATAATACTGGTTGTCTAAAAAGAGAGAATTCCCATCACGATGGTACTTTCTTACACTTTGTGATACTCATACTCTTATGGCACAATATATTCATTATTTATTTTGTACATATTGATTAATTAAACGCGGCCCGGTAGTCCAGTGGTTAGCACGTAGACTTCACAGTGCAGAGGTACCGGGTTCAATTCCAGCTCTGGCCTCCCTGTGTGGAGTTTGCATGTTCTCCCCGGGCCTGCGTGGGTTTTCTCCGGGTACTCCGGTTTCCTCCCACATTCCAAAAACATGCATGGCAGGCTAATTGAACCTCGGTGTGAGTGTGAGCGCGAATGGTTGTTCGTCTCTGTGTGCCCTGCGATTGGCTGGCAACTGGTTCAGGGTGTCCCCTGCCTACTGCCCGAAGACAGCTGGGATAGGCTCCAGCACCACCCCGCGACCCTAGTGAGGATAAAGCGGTTCGGAAGATGAATGAATGAATGAATGATTAATTAAATAATTTAAGGATCTGCTCTTACTGCTAGGTACCTAATTTACCTTGCAACAGTCGGCTAAAGGGTCGTACCGGCTTGTTGCCCTGGACTGCCAGAGAAGTTTACAACATGCACATTTGATGAGCAGCTCAGAAAGTTTCAGCCTTCTAAACATTAAACGAGACCAGAATTTAGCTTTACCTCTGTTTTTCATGAAAAACACACGCTGCATTTTTTTGACGATTTTTCTTTTTTTTTTTTTTTTTAGGTTAAAAGAAAAAATACAGTATAAATATGTTTCCCACCTCCAATGCTTTTCAATGGCTGTCAGTAATTTGTGGTTTTTCACTATTTTTGTAACTGGCCTGGTTACTACCCTCCGTAAAAGGAATAGAAATCTGCAAGATCATTTTGCCTCGGTGTCAGAGATTTTACCCGGACAAAGTTAAATAAATGACTTGATACACAGGGAAGATTGTCTTTCTGACGGCAGAAGAGGATCTCTGAGGGCGAACAACGGCAGTTGCCTCGTGATCACACTTAGAGTTCCTTGTCCTCCAGTCGACTTTTATTGTTTACATTTGCAAAATACAAGAAAAACACTGCCCCCGATATTTGCATACCACGCCCCCGGTCCGGCCCCTCGGTAGTGGTCTGATTACCTTGGTTTAAGCTTTGAACCACAGATATGTTGACACCTTTCAGTCTGGTCTACAACGAATCAGCAAGTTGCAGACTTGCAGGTGGGCAGAGTGAGAAAGTAGGGTGTCGAAAACAATCGGTGCCACTATTACTGATAAATTAATTCACATTCTGAACAGCTTTTCTAGATATGTAAAGACACAAAGGAACTCCTGTATTTACAACTAAAATAATAACACAATTTCTATTTAAAACACCAATGATTGAAGATTGTTTCTTCCACATTCTGCTGCGTCAAAATCCGATTCGAGTCGAAGTAAAACCAGATGTTTGCAAATACCATATTTTTTGATTAGACACAAATATAATCAGTTTGCTTCATGGAGACCAACAAACATATGAGTACATTTACTGTTGAGAGGCTGAAATTCTAAGGGTTTGGTCAATATTAACTTCAACAGGGTCTGTCAACAATTACTTGATTATTGCAATAGATGTCAATTAATTTGATCAATGATTTGTTCTCAAATCATTGAGTAGTTGTTACTACCATTCTCAATTGGCTTACCTGTATAAATAAAGGTTAAATAAATGCAAATAAATGAAACCAATCGTCAATAGAGAAACATCACAAACTTTTCAGACATGCAGCGGGTAAATGTAAATGCAAACACAACAGGACACATTCCAATCTTTTCCTCAAACCCAACTGTCAGCTTGAGTCAGATAAGACAGGTCTGTTAATAAAAATACTTCTATGGTTGAACAAAAGAGTTTTTCAGCCTTGTTGGCTTGCTGGTTGGCTAACAACAACATCACAGCTCAGCCTCTAAATGCAGACCGAGTGGGCCAAAGACACAGTTGAGCCGCTCGAGCTCTTCCAGGCCCTTGCCATCTGCGCCCCCCCACCCTGGAGGTATTTTTCTCCTTCACTCTCACAGACATCAAGATGCATCGCAGATCATCCGGCGTACAACATATAGATCGTGCTACCATTGCTGGATTGCCGTGTACTCATGAGATTGATGCTCTCTACGCCAAGTCTACAAAAAATGCATACTGTATTAAAAACGCCTCGTGACACAACAGTGCCCTCAGGAGGCATTAAAATGGGGCATGAGCATTTTTCTGCGTTTTAATGCCACTCAGACAGAGGGGCGTTTCAAGATTGACCGGCGTGCTCACTTGCATCACAATGAAGTCTTTCTCTTGATCTCGTGTGGTTACCTCAGTGCTTGAACATCAGTATTGCCTTTTAATACTCTGGAATAGGACTGCAAGTATCGCCACGCATTTGTCCCCTGCATACATGGTGTCCTCTGAAATGTCCAATTAATTTCCCATCCGTCTGCAATGCACAAATGCGCTGAAGAGCAATTTCCACTTTGTTTGCGGCAATAGAAGACACTGATAAGACAAGACAGGAGGATCATGGCATGCTGCAGCAAAGTAGAGATCGTGATACACAGTACGGCTGTGTTTCAAAGCTAAGGCACAGTAACAAGCTTAGCCAATGTTAGCATGTGTTTGCTTTTGTCATTTCTAGCCATGTATCATCAAGTTTCATTGCACCAAATTAACAAATTTGCTGCAGCGGCAGTGGTTTACATCACGAAAGTGAAATATGCTAGTTATTCTTACAACGCCCGGCTGATCAGGTACTCAGAATAATTTATCGTTGTACCTCATAACTCAACATTGAATTAAAAGGTGGATTTTGAGAGCGCAGACCTCCACTAAGGCTACACTGTAAATGGAAAGACTTAACGACTTTTTTCAGAGCTACAGCGTTTTGGTGAAGAAGGTTCTGAATCTGATAATTCATCCATTCAACAAATTGCCAAAAACAACAAAAAGAAGTCAACAAATCCATGCGTTCTTTGTAATACCATAATTTTACAATGCAGGAACTCTTGCGGAAAGGAAGTCATTTCTTATATTTGCCCTTCAAGATCTTCCAAAATCATTAGTATGGTACAGTAGTGCAAACTTTTTCATCTATTTTGCATTTGATTCCACACAGTTTAAAAGTGAGTGGATCAAAGCTGGAATAGCTTTGCTGACGATTAAATGTTCACAGTGAACTTGAGAGTTGATTGTTTGATATCTGCCGTTTTACGTGCGTTTTGTGTGCATGTGTTCATTCCAAATGTACTCATCAGTGTGCCAATGTTGTAGATGGGAAATGCTTCAGACACATCAGCTGTGTTTACCTCCACTATCTCCAAGGAGTATGATCTTGCCATGGGCTCACTCTACATCTTATATTGTGAGTAAACTCCTTGATGGTCCCTAGCTGAGGTCAATAAGTCCACACTCGTGAACAATCTTTTTTTTCCCCTCCCAGGTGTGCTGTCCCTCCTGGGCAATTGCATTCTGCTACTTGTTGCCCATCACAAGCGCTCGAGCCTAAAGCCGCCCGAGTTCTTCATCATCAATCTCTCAATCAGTGACCTTGGGATGACACTCATTTTATTCCCCTTGGCCATACCGTCAGCTTTCTCACACAGGTATATCATTGAGCCTTTCTCCCCCTCTTATACAAACTAAAAAGCTTTATCTGAAACAAAAAGTTGAAATAAAACGATATTACAGATATCAGGTTTCATCCACAGATACAGTGGATCCCCGGCAGCTGGAAGCAAAAATCTTGCGTGCATTTTGATTGGCTGTAATGTGCGATGTCACAGCGGCGTGGGCCGCGATTCAAATTTTCAAACGCCACAAAACCAGAGGCTGAGGAAACCCGCACACATCAGGATAGTTAAGTCAACTTCCGACGCATTTTAAATCAGTCGGTATGTAACTGGTGTATTCAATTTATTGCTCCACAGAGATTTTGTAGCGCTGCCCCGCCCTGCGAGTGCATGCATGCAGGCCACCCACCTCTCTCTCTCTCTCTCTCTCTCTCTCTCTCTCTCTCACACACACACACACACACACACACACACACACACACACACACACACACACACACACACACACACACACACACACACACGCGCATATATCACACACACACATACACTATCTCTGA